CCTCTCTGTCTCTCTTCCTCTCTGTAAATCTGACTTTGTAATAAAAATAAATAAATCTTTTTTAAAAAAATAAGCTAGATCAGAAGTGAGTAGTTGGGATTTGAACTGGCAGTTCAATATGGGATGCTGGTGTCCAGTGTGATGGTTTAACCTGTTATGCCCACTCCTCCATTTTAATTAAAAGAGCATTCGGTATATATATTCAATTCTATGCCTTCTTTTCTTCTGTTACACATTTGCTATATCCTGGAGGTCTCTAGCAGTCTGTAGAGATTTTCCTAATTTTTAAAAATAACTATACATTTTATTATATGTGTGTAATAAAATATTCAACCACTTTCCTGTAGGTAGGCATTTAATTTTTGCAGTGTTTTTCATTATATAACGTAGCAGTAAATAAGTGTAGGTTTGTATGTGGAGGTTTATCTTTAGAATAAATTTCTTAAAGTGGCCTGCTTTTGACTTAGTACTTTGGGCAGTAAGTTCTATCTGAACTGCAACTCTAAGCGCTGATGAAATTGGTACATTTCTTTTTTTTTTAAAGATTTATTTTATTTTTATTGGAAAGGTGGATATACAGAGAGGAGAGACAGAGAGGAAGATCTTCCGTCTAATGATTTACTCCCCAAGTGAGCACAATGGCCGATGCTATGCCGATCCGAAGCCAGGAGCCTCTTCCGGGTCTCCCACGCGGGTGCAGTATCCCAAGGCTTTGGGCTGTCCTCTGCTGCTTTCCCGGGCCACAGGCAGGGAGCTGGAAGGGAAGTGGAGCTGCCGGGATTAGAACCGGCGCCCATATGGGATCCTAGGGCGTTCAAGGCGAGGACTTAAGCCACTAGGCCACGCCGCCGGGCCCAGTAAATGCTATAGATTTTATGTTTTGTTGACTTTGCAGTGTAACTGTTTCACTGTCATCTTTCCTGGTGATTTAGCTGGGTATAAATTTCTATCCTGACATTTTTTTCTCGGCACCCTGAGGATATTCCACAGTCTTCTGGCTTCTATTTAGCTCTTGGGAAGTCTGCCATCTGGTTATTGTTGGTCCTTCTGTAAGTAATCTGTATTTTCTCTCTAGTGCTTTTTAAGGTTTTTGTCTTTATGACTTTAATATAATTTTGGACATTTCTTCATTTCTAGATACTTGATATTCACCCCTCTTCCCAGATATTTTAAACCTTGTTCCTTTCTTATGGTTTTTATTTGATATTGTGTATATTTTAAGCATTTATATTCAGCAGTTTCAGTTTCTAGGGAACTATGAGTAGGAATATTTTATATTATATTAATATTATATTTGTGTGTACAATTTATATATATATTTTTCTATTTATTTTTTATAAAACTATATTCGGTAGGCCATTTAGCAGAATTTGAAAATAAATTGTTTTTTAAATTTTTATTCATTTATTTGAATGAGTGACAGAAATATCTTTCACCCGCTAGTTTATCACCAGTTGGTGAAGGGCAGGCCCAGGCTGAAGCCGGGAAGCAGCCTTTGGGTCATCTGCGTCCCCTGCATGGCCGGCAGGAACTGAGTACTTGAGCAGCACTCGCTGTTTCCCAGGCACATTAGCCAGAAGCTGGGAAAGCACACTGGCTGGGACCTCTCTGTATATCCACCTTTCCAATAAAAACATAATAAAAATAAATCTTTAAAAAGCGGGAAGCTAGAGTCAGAAACCAGAACCAGGAACTGAATTCTAGGAATCTGATACGGGATGCAAGTGTTCAAACCTGCAGCTTGACCATCAGCCATATATACATCTGAAATCTTAGTTTTCAGCAATTGGTCTTAAAAGAATTAAAATATTTTTTTCTGGGGTAATGTTGTGGCATGGCAGTTGATGCAGGTATCCCATCTGGGTGCCAGTTTGTGCCCATCTGTTCTATGTCCGATCCATCTCCTTGGGGATGGCCCAAGTGGGTCATATCCTGCCACCCATAATGGGAGATGGGTGAAGTCCGTGGTTCCTGGTTTTGATCTGGCCCTGCTCTGGCCATTGCTGCCATCTGGGCGATAAGCAGGCAGATGCAGGATCTCGGTCTCCCTCTCTGAACTTTGGCTTTTGAAATGAATGAAAAAAAAAAAAGATTTTTCTTTTGCACTTCTTGAAATAATCCTCTGTATGTTATTCTTCAGATTATTCACATAGGAAAAACATATTTCATTATGTAAAACTATTCTTGCATTTGCAGAGTAAACTTCATTTGATCATGATAATCCTTAAATACACAGATAATTTCTTTATTGCTATAATTTTATTTAGAATTTAAGGGACCAATATTGTGGTCAAGAGGCTAAGCTTGTTTGAGTCATGGCTGCTTTACTACAGATCCAGCTCCCGGCTGACGTGCCTGGGAATACTACAGGGGGAGCAGGAGAAGGCTCCAGTGCCTGAGCCTGTCACCCGACAGTGTGGGAGACCCAGAAAGAGTACCAGGCTCCTGGCTTCAGCCTAGCTCAACCATGGCCACTGTAGTCATTTGGAGAGAGATTGTCATATACATCTTTCAAATAACTAAAAGTAAATACTAAAATTTTACCTGTGTTTGTTCCTGAGATTGACTTAGCTTTCCTGAGCTCCATGTCTAACTTTTAATATATGTGTGAATCTAATGTCAGAAAATACTTTGGCAAATTTCCAGAGTTTTTTGTATTCAACAACATTTGTGTAAGGTCTGAATTGTGCTCACAAGGTCTTTGAGGGTTTGGATGGTTTTGCCAGTAGTACCATCAGGCATCAAGTCTCAGGATGCAGTGACCATTAAATACAGTTGACCAGTGTATACAAATGATTATTATTCTTTAGAAATATTGATTTTTAAGAATATAGCTACTAAACTAAAATTTAAGATTCTTTTTGCTTATTTTTTAAAAATTCTAGGTTGATGGGTTGATGATTATAACTGTATTGTGTAGGGGACTGTTTGCTTCATGAACATAATATGGATTATTTAAATCAAGCTAAGTAGGAATGAGGACATTTGGCATTTAATTCTCAGATATTTTTGTCAGGTTCGTGACACTATTGTGCTGTGCAGCAAATGTCAAAAGGAAAAACCCGAGTGCTCCTGAGATTTTGTCCCTTTGGGTCGTAACCCCCCCACACACATTCACCTTTTATTTTCTGCTTCCACGACTTCTATCCTCTTAGAGTCCACATAATCAGACACGTGGTATTTGCCCTTCTGTGCCTGATTTATTTCAAAATGATGTTCTCCAACTCCACACGTGACAGAATTTCCTTCTCATCTTGCTCCACCTGTTCATGGGACCTTACGTTGATGCCACTCTCTTGGCACATGTGACTGTTGCTTCAGGGAAATGCAGACATCTCTTCAGCAAACATATTTCAAAATCTTTCAAGTAAATACCAAGAAGTGTGATTGGCAAATCATAGGGTAATTCTATTTTTAGTGTTTTGAAGTGCTTCTGCAGTTTTCCTCAATGGCTGTACAAATTTACACCTACAATGAACAAAGGTTCCCTCCTTTACATATCCTTGTTGACATGTACTCTTTTTCATCTTTTTTTAAGAAATTGATTTTATTTATTTATTTATTTTTTATAAAGTCAGATATATATAGAGAGGAGGAAAGACAGAGAGGAAAATCTTCCATCCAGTGATTCATTCCCCAAGTGACCGCAACGGCCAGAGCTGCACCGATCTGAAGCCAGGAGCCTGGAGCCTCTTCGGGTCTTCTTCGTGGGTGCAGGGTCCCAAGGCTTTGGGGCATCCTCAGCTGCTTGCCCAGGCCACAAGCAGGGAGCTGGATGGGAAGTGGAGCTGCCGGGATTAGAACCGGCGCCCATATGGGATCCTAGGGCGTTCAAGGCGAGGACTTTAGGTGTTTGGCCACAGCATCAAGCCCACTCTTTTTCATCTTTTTGAGAAAGCTATTCTGACAGATCAGAAGTGATATGTGATATGTGGTATTTCCCTAATGGTGGGCAGTATTAAACATTTTTTCACCTATTTGTTGGCTATTTGTATTACAGTCTTGTGAGAAATCTTCATGATATATTTCATTTGTAGACTTGTGTACATTGAACTGCACTTATACTCAGGTATAAATCATATTAATTCATAATCCTTTTCCTATGTTGGTGAATTTGCTTTGCTAGTGTTTTTGTTGATGATTTGTGCAACATCAAGGATGTTTTATATTGTCTTTGCCTGACCTTGGTACCAGGGTAATGCTGGCCTTGTAAGTTTGAAGTATCTGTAGTGCCTTCTCTTTGATTATTGGAAGAATTTGAGGATTGATATTGTAATTCGGTCTTGAAATTTTAGTGGAATTCAGGAGTAAGAGCCCAGTGAGATGGCTCAGTTGGCTAGTCCTTCCCCTTCCAAATGCTGGGTTGTTCATCTCCCGGCTGCTGTACTTCCCATCCAGTTCCCTGCTTGTGGCCAGGGACAGCCCAAAGCCTTGGGACCCCGCACCTGCATGGGAGACCTGGAGGAAGCTCCTGGCTTTGGATCAGCTTAGCTCCAGCCATTGTGGCCACTTGAGGGGTGAACCAAAAGATCTTTCTCTCTGTATCTCCTCTCTGTATATCTGCCTTTCCAATAAAAATAGATAATTTGTTTGTTTAAGAATTCAGTATTGAAACTATAAAATCCTGTTTTTTTTTTCCCTGATTTTTTTGTTATTTTTTATGATTCATTTGGTACTGCTTTCTTTTTTCCTTCATTATCCTACATATGTAGGAATTCATTTCTTCTGTTTATCCAGTTCATTAGGGTGTAGTTGGTCATAGTAGTTTCTTAGGATTGTATTTATGCAGTATAAGTTGTAACGTTTCGTTCTGAGTTTACTTACTTGAATCTTTTTCTTAATCTACCCAAAGGCCTGTCAATTTTATCTTTGAAACGAACCAGCTGTTTTGTCAAATTTTTTTTTTTGTATTATTTTTCTAATCTTTTTTTTCTTAGGTCCTTATCTTCCTTCTTTCTGCTGACTTTGTGTTTAGATTCTTCTTTTCCTAGTTCCTTAAGGAGAAGTGATTTAGGCATATACTGCTATAATCTTGGTGACTAGTATTTTATTTCAAGCTATTTTTAAATTTCCCTATTTCTTCGCTGGTCAGTTGGTTTTTTGAAAGTATATTGTTTTAAATTTTCATGTGCAAGTTTATGGGTTTCATGATATTCTGTTTCTAGTTTCATACTAGATATGATTGGAACTGTTGTCATGGTTTCCATCTTAAATTTATTAATACTTGTTTTTGGTGGCCTAACATGTGATCTCTCCAGAGAATGTCCTGTGTGTACACTTTGTTGCTTGTATATTTTGTTGCTGATGAGTGGGATTGGTATGCCTGTTAGATCCAGGGGTCTAAAGTGTTGTACAAATCCAGTGTTTGCTTATTAATCTTCTGCTGAATCACTGTCCACTTCTGACTGCATTATTTCAGAAGTCTTCTCTTCCATTTTGTCTTCCAGAATAAACATTCTCCTCAGGTGCTCTCTCCTGCTGTTGACACTCTCAACATCCTTTTGGCTCATCTCATCTGCTCTTTTTCCTCATCTCTTTAAACCATCTGTGTTATTTTGTTGCAGTGTGTTTCCTTCCTAGGTTCCTAGGCCTGATTTGCCAGGCCCTTCCTCTCCATGGAGTAGATTTTGTTAGAAGATTGTTTAGATGGAGTGCAGAGTAGCACTTGGACCATTCTTTGACTTGACTTCTCTATGAGCAAAACCCCGTACCCTCAGGGGTTTCCTTAGCTTTCATCAGGGCCTGCAAGTGTCACAGTCGCCTAATCTGCAGCTTTTGGTGGTGGTGGTGGGGGTGGGTAGAAAAATGAGTTTGAAGTGGATGCAGGCTTTGTAGGGAATGTGTCTTCAGTTCCCGGGGAACTGGGTGGCAGTCTTACTAGTGTTCCTGGTGGCTGCAACCTTGTTCTTCCTGAGGAACACAGGAGGGCCTGTCCCTTTGTCCCATTGGCAACAGTAACTGCAGCTTTAGAACTGTGTAACACTGATGGGATCTTGTCCACTTCCTGCTGACAGAGTGTGACTGGTGCTGGTGCTTGTAAAAACACCAATACCCTAATCCTGGAACTCGGGGAATGGAAGGGGATCCTGCTCCAGTTTTACAGGGTGATTGCAAGATACAGTGGACGTTTTGCACTGGCAGATATAGACACAGAGAAGTGGAATGCAGGCACGTTCTTCCCTGGGTCCTCTGAGGAACAGTACCAACAGTCACAGTGCTGGCGCTTTGGAATGCTGTCAGATCGCAACCCCATTCACAGTGGCCAGCCAGTTAGGCTGGCAATCATCAGAAGGTAGCTATCACCTGGACCACAGGCAAGATGCCACAGTGGAGTACTAGTTACTCTAGAGATTGTAACTTGACAGCCGCAGTCTGCCTTCAGGGCCCCCAGCATCCTGAGCTTGAAGGTGCAAAAAGGCCTTCCTCCTCAGGTCTGGTATTCTCAGATTTGTATGGGCTGCCGCTGGTGGTAGCTCCAGGAGGCCAAGGGTAACCCCACTGCTGTGTCACACAGAGTAAGCACAGCGATAAGAGCTTAAGCCCAGAACTTCACAGCTGCAGAGTACAAGGGTTCCACCACCTATTCTAGAAAAGTGAGCTGGTTCTGGCAGCTTCTCGTAGCAGTGCAGTTGCTAAATCAGAACAGAGTGAAGCAGTGGCTCTACCACAGTAAACTGGAGTCTGGCACTTTGAGACGGACAATATGAGTTACCTTTTTGGAGCAGAGTAGTTGCTCAGACCCCCAAGTCAGCTCTCTAGGCTGGACTTGACGTCACCGAGGACTGGGATTCTCTGCTGGGCCGTGCTACCAGCAAGGACTTCAGTGCGTTCTTACCTCTTCTGGCAGTGACGCAGTAGCCGCATGTCTCTCCTCTGCCCTGGTGTCAGAGTCTTTGTGATGTTGCATCACTCTTCACTAAAAATTTTCCTAAGTCTGGCTCCTGAAACAGCATTCTCCCTTTGTTGTTCTGGCAGTTCCCCGTGGCTGAGGCGAGTGTGTCTTCTCTGTATTCAGTTCTTATATTCTGCCTCTTATTTTCTAGTAAGTGCATTTGAGATTGTTTCCTCCAGGTACAACACATAGTTTCTTTTGGTGTAGTAATCATGACATCTTCTGGAAAATGCATCAGGCAATCTTATTGTTATACATCATAGAGCATATTTACACAAACTAAGGTGCTACATTTGTCACTAGGTCATGGAATACATGCTACAATTATAATATATGCACTCAGGGTTTTTTTTTTTAAGATCTATTTAGTTATCTGTATTGGAAAAGCAGATTTACAGAGAGAGAATGCTCTTCTGTCTGCAGGTTCACGTCCCAAGTGTCTGCAATGGCTGGAGCTGAGTCAATCTTTAGCCAGGAACCAGGAGCCTTTTCTGGGTCTCCCACGCAGGTGCAGGGTCATGAGGCTCTGGGCCATCCTTGAATGCTTCTCCAGGCCACAAGCAGGGAGCTGGATGGGAAGTGGAGCTGCCAGGACATGAACCAGCACCTATGTGGGATCCAAGTGCATGCAAAGCAAGGGATTTTAGCCACTCGGCCATCGCGCTGGGTCTAGTATAATATGAATATTTTTAAAGACCCTTTGGTAGCATTTACTAAAATGCCTACTTGTCTGTATCTGCTACGATAACATGCTAGAGTTTCTTCTAAAAAGGAAAAACTAAATCTTTTTACACGTTTTCCTTTTGAAATAGCCTCATTTCTGTGCTACATTTCACAAACAGCACACAGAATTTTGCATCCTATCTCCATCGCCTCTCCCATACTCATGAATCTGCTTTAATCCAAAATTACTCCACCAAAATTGTACTTGTATTATCATTAATTTACTTATTAGTCAGCCTTTTACCTCATCTCAGCATTTGACACCATTGGCAATTCCTCCTTAAAACACTTTACTTGCTTTCCGAGGTCGCCAGCCTCCAGTAGACGCTCGCTCTCAGCCTTCACGCTGGATTCTTTCTCATTTACCTGACCTCTGAATGTGGATGCGTCCTGGAGCTCAGGGCTCAAACCTCCCTTTTCTACATAAGATATTCTTGTATAATCGTACCAAATCCCCCAGGTTTAAATATTACCAACTCGGTGATGGCTCCTATTTCTACATGTAAATCCAAGTCTCTCCTTAGAACCACATATTTCTGTACACATAAATATGTATGCAATACTTTTATTGGTTTTTTTTTTAAGATTTAGTTTATTTTTTTTATTGCAAAGTCAGATACAAAGAGAGGACGAGAGATAGAGAAGATCTTCCATCTGATAATTCACTCCCCAAGTGGCCACAACGCCCAGAGCTGTGCCAATCCAAAGCCAGGAGCCAGGAGCTTCTTCCAGATACAGATGCAGATACAGGGTCCCAAGTGCTTGGGCCGTCCTCAACTGCTTTCCCAGGCCACAAACAGGGAACTGGATGGGAAGTGGAGCAGCCAAGATTAGAACCAGCACCTATAGGTGACCTGGCATGTGCAAGGCAAGGACTTTAGCTGTTAGGCTACCGAGCCAGGCCCATCTCTCAACTTCTGTACAGCTGGATTCAGTTCCTATTCTCTGCTCTCTGTGGGCCCAACAGCTTATCTCTTGATGTCTTTCAGTATGTTACCATACAGACTCTGGCAAGTAAAAACACTGAATGACCCAGGACTGGCTGTAACTAACTTCAGAGTACATTTCTGTCTCTACTTTCTGTTCTCATTTCAGTGTTCCACTCTCATCTTCTTTCCTAAGCTTGGCCACACTTTTAAAACGGTTTTATAAAATTATATTTTAAACACTTATTGCTATTCCTCAGTTAATCTAATATACAATTTGCACCTCAATTATGTCTATTATGGTCATAATTTGTAAGTTTTATCACCGACCCCCTGATTCCCTACACTTTCTGTATTCGTTTTTCATTATTGCATCAGAATACCTGAGGTATCTTAACTTTATATGGGGAAAAGGTTTATTCAGCTCACACTTTTGGAGTTGCGAGTCCAAGATTGGATGGCTCCATGTCAGTGGAGCACCTGGCAAAGCCGTGGATGGCAGTGGGCAGAAGGATTATTTGGTGAACTAGGATCAGAGCAAGTGGTAAGGCCCAAACACGGGCTTCTGTAATAACCCTCTCACTAGAAATGCCTTCTTTTTTTTTTTTTTTAAGATTTATTGGAAAGTCAGATATACAGAGAGGAGGAGAGACAGAGAGGGAGATCTTCCGTCCAATGATTCACTCCCCAAGTGAGCACAACGGGCCGATGCTATGCCGATCCGAAGCCAGGAGCCAGGAACTTCTGGGTCTCCCACACGGGTGCAGGGTTCCAAGACTTTGGGCCGTCCTCGGCTGCTTTCCCGGGCCACAGGCAGGGAGCTGGATGGGAAGTGGAGCTGCCAGGATAGAACCGGCGCCCATATGGGATCCTGGCATGTTCAAGGCGAGGACTTTAGCCGCTAGGCCACGCTGCCGGGCCCTAGAAATGCCTTCTGACAGTATGCCCCAGGAATCTCCCACTAGGCCTTCTTTGCAAACAACAAAATAAATTTTCACCTTCTTAGTACCACTAAGGCTTAAATGTCCTGCATCATGAGTTTAAGGACTAAGTCATATTCAAACTTCAGCTCTTTCCTTTTGTTTTAATGCCTGTCCTTTTCCCCCAAGCTATGAAAACTACTCATCTGTTTTCCATCCCGAGAGTTCTACCTTTACAAGAATGTCATTTGGAGTGGAGCGGGATTTTGATGGTTTAGATGCCTGCATCTCATATTAGAAAGCTAGTTTGAGTTCCAGCTTCTTGACTTCCAAACTTACTTCGTGCTAATGCATCCTCAGAAGCAGTACATCGTGGCCCAAGTACGTAGGTCCCTGCCACCCATGTGGGAAATCGAAGTGGAGTTGTGGCTCCTGGCTTTGGTCTAGCCCAGCCCTTCACTGCTGGGAGCATTTGAACAGCAAACAATGAATGTAAGAGAGGTTGCTTTTGGCACTGTTTCTTTCTACTTTTCCAATAAAATTT